GAGTGCATACACATTCTCATAACCATTTAGGTTGAAATTTCCCTGGAATCTAGCTACACTTTGGAGCGTCCTCCGGTAGTGATTCTTGGACATAAATCAGGGAAAATTTAATGAGATAGATGACAAATGTACTAGGTTGTGCCTTCATCACACTCTACACTTTAAAGTGGATAGTTAATCGAACCAAGTGACCTCCCCCTATTCCTTTAGAGAGTCACGACCTCAACCGTACTCCCACTTTGTACGGTTGCAATGCTTCTTCCTTTAGCATTGTATCCCTTACTAGGGTTTTAAACCATGCAGACATAGTTACAACAGTTTATAAGATGTAGTTACTCTAAGAATGTTATATCGATGAGTCTTTTAACTCATCATCATATTGTGATGTTTGGGGATCAGTATTGAGACAGAGCAGGGTCATTTTACAAAACTTCTTGTCGTTCCCTTAGAGAATCTTTTCTCTTATCTCCCCCTAACGACAGGAAGACTGTCTCAATAAAGTGACAAATCACTAGTGTAATGGTATCTGCCAAGGTTGGATAATGGCGGATCATAGTTGGAGATCCATGTCCAATATGATTACCGTTGTGTTAGAGACCCATTATTGTGTGTTGTGGGGAACACAGTAGGCACATATACTTCACAACCAAATATGCATAAAGTAAAATCTCAGGCTAATGTCCAGTTACCAACTGGTATGCATAAAATTGGTGTAATAGTATTGGGTCAAACACACATGAGTATAGTTACATGCAAAAGTTATTTTATCCCATGATGTTATATACATGTTAGTGCGCTTAATAAATATCATAATCCCATCTAAGTTCTTTTAAATGTGATTGAAAATGATACCATTGTTTCATATAGGTATGAGATACGTACTTTGATCCCAATAAAAGTGCAATAACAATCATATACTTTGTTATGGGCTTTTCTAGTTTTGACAAGTATTATATATATACTTGATGGGGTGGTGAGTCCTCAAAATGATTTTAGAACTTTTGCAAGTGCAATATTATGTGGACAATCAACATATAACTAGTACGTTAATTTGACCTCTACGTTTAGATGATCCACATTGTATATACGTAAGTCTACATTAACATATTTTTTTTTGTGTAAGAATGAGATTCTCACAGTTAATTTTATGTAAAATGACAACAACTGACATACATACAGTCTATAAACTAATAGGCGTCAAATGTTAGGTGCGTATAGAGACTGTGGAAAAATATGTCTTTTCATATATACAATGGCCTTGCAGATTATAATCTCATAATCAATATGAATAAGAATAAATCTAACGAGTCATATAATCCACAATTCATTGAATCCTCATTTTTTTCATTCTAGTACTTGAGAGTATCAATAAATCAAATAAACAATCAATATGAATTAAAATGTTTCAATGAGTAGAATGAGTCACATGACATTCTTTTGGTCATTCTAGTGTCATTCTTAATGTTGAATAACATTGAGGTTTATATTAGGTCAATGACAATTAAAGTGCATCACATAGTCCTTTGAAACAAACTAGGTAGGGAAAGTAGTTATAATATATATATATATATATATATATATATATATATATATATATATATATATATATATATATATATATATATATATATATATATATATATATATATATATATATATATATATATATATATATATATATATATATATATATATATATATATATATATATATATATATATATATATATATATATATAAGGTCATACGTATGTAGATCAATTAAAACAAAACATACGGAGTATTCATTAGCCAAGGAAAAATGCCGCAAAAATAATGTTCACTAGGAAGGATAGAAATAAAAAAACATCATCAACTCGTGACTAATGGGTGCTTAGTTCTCATGACTCACACCATGATCCACTTGGTATCGCTCATCCGTGAGCATTAGATTGATAAGCTCGTTATACTTTGTGAAACTTTTAGTTTCATACTCATGCCAATATTTCCATGCTTGTATGATGGCTGATTTTGGAAGGGTGGAAAGAGTCTTTTGAATCATAGCATCTTCTGTGAGTGTTAACCCATGGGAACTCAATCTTTCTTTTAAGGATAACATCTCCCGATTAAAATCGGCTACCCTTATGTAATGTGAGAAGTGAATTTCATTCCACTCTTTGATTATTCCTCGGAGTGTACTATCATAAGTGTGCCCAAAACGTTTTTCAAGAGCATCCCACAGTTCTTTTGGGGATTCTAATTGCGCATATTCACAATATAAGCTGGGGCAAATGTGACGCCTGAGATATGCTAGGGCCCTTGCATTCACTTCTTCGGTCATTTCATTATCTTTCAAAGTTTTGGGGTCTTTACGTGTAGCAAAGTATTCTTGAATTACAAATGCAGTTTTCATATGTGAAACCCATCGATGGTACTCAAATCCTTGTGAGTCCAAAATGTCAAAATCAGGTCGAGTCGGATGAGACATTGCTAAATAAAAAACAAAATACCCATTAGTGCATTGTTCATATTAAGAGAAGTNGACGCCTGAGATATGCTAGGGCCCTTGCATTCACTTCTTCGGTCATTTCATTATCTTTCAAAGTTTTGGGGTCTTTACGTGTAGCAAAGTATTCTTGAATTACAAATGCAGTTTTCATATGTGAAACCCATCGATGGTACTCAAATCCTTGTGAGTCCAAAATGTCAAAATCAGGTCGAGTCGGATGAGACATTGCTAAATAAAAAACAAAATACCCATTAGTGCATTGTTCATATTGAGAGAAGTGTGAATGGTTGGTATTTTCTTTATAATATATTTGCTTTTGTGATTTACTTTTCACAAGAGGAAAAAATTATGCTTTTAAGTGCGACATGTCATGGCAACGTGGATTTCATCCCACTAAAAATAAATTTTAGTAAATAAAGTGTAAATTTACCATAAAACTCTTTAAAAACATTGGAATTGGTTTGGTGTGTTCACTTGAAGACACTCTTTAAAATGTATTTTGTCTTGTCCTTTTGAATGACAAATGGTGTAGTGTAGTTTTTCATAAAAAAAATAGTTTGAGCATAAGAAACTTCAAGGATGAAACTCAATTGCTTGTGAGTGGAAAAGGATTTTTGGTCAATTGGGATAAACATAGAGATGCTTAAAACAAAACACCCAAACAATATGTATTTATTATATGCAATCGTAATCCTTATAATAAATTGATATTGAGACCAAACTTCATATCAACCACATAATTTCTAAATACTTTATGTGAAATTTCTTTATCACATATTTGGAAAATGTAATTGTATGGAATGGATAAATAACCATTATCATGGAAACTATTTATGATTAAAGAAAGACTACAACAATAGAACTCAATCACTTCTGAGTCAAATCTATTTGGATAAAAGTGAAATCACAATTTATAGAAACGTCAACGATAATTAGATTTCAAATATGAATTAGATTTTGAGGGAGAAATATGTGTCACATATCAATTTTCAAATGCCTTGAGTCATACGTAGTTTTTCTTTAACGCGTACTTGTGAAAAATATGAAACACATAAAAATGTTGCATTATCATGACTATATTGGTTGTATGTTACACCATGAAATATATATATGAGTGGTGCAGATAAATAATGCAAACAATTATGGATAAACATCAGTCCATACATATGTCTAAATAAATATATACTTTGTATCATAAACCCAGAGTATGTCATGACTTTTAAAAAAAATATCTTAATGTTTAAATAGAACATATATAGGACAAGTATACTTGTAGTACGAACTATAGAATATATACAGAATAGAGTAGTACCTCTAATTCATAGTTAAAGATCAGAAAATGTTTTTTTTTTGATGGGAAATTAATTAGAACCCATATTGCTAAAAAAACAGAGTCACGAAGGTAACCCATCACAAAATTGAAACCAACTGCCCACAAAATTTACGGATCGGAGTAAATTGGAAAAATTAAATTAATTAAAACCAACACAATATTAATGTTTATTTTATATTTTCCAAATTTGTACATGTCATAAAAAATGTCACACATTCATACGCACATAAGATCCAAAAATGAGTGTATGCTGATTTTAATATCAATATATAAAATCGATACATGGCATATAATATTTTATTAAAGAAAAATATCATTATATATGTAGATTATATAGAGATCACATAGGTGTGTAAACAAGATTAAGAACACACATACTAATGCAATGATGAAAACAAAATTGGATATGCATGAATAATCTAATGTAAACCTATATGATGCTTTATTGATAACAAAATGGATAATGAAGAACCTGATAGGGGGGGCGGTGCTAAAGAGTGGTGGGCTGGCGGCCAAATCGTCGATGACTACACTGATTCTACTCCTCCAGGCGGCGATCGGGGATGAATAAAGGTGTGTGCCGATCTGTGCGGCGGAGGAGAAAGAGTGGCGATCTGTGCGGCGGCGGAGGAGGAGGAGCGGCCAAAAGAGATTAGGGTTAGTGCTCGTGCTGATAACGTGTTGAAGGAAGACTCTCTTCTCTTACTTTTTCATTGCCCAACGTCTCTATATATGAGGCGGGATTAGGGTTTACAGTTAAAGCCCAATGGGCCCACAATACATAAACTACAAAGTACAATCCGTAATACATATTATATCTACACGATAGCACACAATTTGCAGTTCCCTTTAACAAAAAGGAGTCATTAAAAAGACGTTATAAAAAAGTGTCGAAGCAAAAAAAAAAGTTTGTCAAGAAAAAAATAGTCAATATATCAGTAAAAAATGGGCTGAGAAAAGAAAATGGAAGAAATGCTCAAGAAGCTATATATCCAGTCAAATCATCTCGCTCCAAGAAGACGTGGATACACTCAAGAAAAAGGAGCCCTTTGTCAAAACCGAGAGCCGGACAACATTGTTTGCGTATAAAACACTGCGCATGCAGCACCTAAAAAAAAATTAAAGCTCAAATATAATAAAAAAACAACTAGAATTTAGAGCATACTTACATAGAGTCACATAGGGATATAGTCGCTCACAAATGTTCAATGAGACCAGAAAATGAACTGCAACTGCTCGATCAACAAGTGAAGCCAATCACTTATACTCTTAGAATACAGAAGATTAAACAAAACAAAATGTGGATTGACGACAACAAAATTCCATATTTTTATTTTTAGTTGTAAAGAATATCTCAATTTACAGTTTGACATAATGACGTGAGATGTGGAGCTTACATAAAAGGTTTTACGATCTGCTCAAATTATAAGAATGGGACGTTTTGAACAATAGGAAAACATACCGCCAAGATACTAACGAACTGCCCTAATTCAATATACTTATTGAACCGTGATTCTTCTCTCTTATATTTTGATTCAATATCAGACTCAACTTGTTACCCTAAACTCAGTTAAGAACCGTCCTAATTCATATTACTTATTAAAGTTTACAATGTTTGAGTGGATTTATTTTCTATTCCATTTATTGAAAAACAGTGTGGAATTTAAAAAAAGATGACGACTAACATTTATATATCTAAAAACTTCATCAATAACTCTATAGTCGAGCAAAAACATAAATGCACCAAAGAGACCGAAACAACGATAGTTTTTAAAAGCACCATTGCCCTATTGTAGAACGGTACTGATGGGTGTATTCCACCCACGACCGGTCAAAGGAGGAGACCGATTAGTTGACCGGTCAATCTCGAAAGTTTTGGAAGGGAGACTTAAATCGTCGGCAAAACGATGTATCATCGGCCAAAAGATGACCGGTATACTTCACAAAAAAGTATACCGGTCAAACTACGTTGTCATCCTATTTATTCCAGACTTCGATGAATTCATCCCTCGGAGATTACCCGGTGTAGTTTCTGGGGTTGGAAAGTGTCGGCAGAAGAGGATCTGCGAGGGCTTGGCGTGTAGCGACCCGTGTCAGTAGAGGACAACTGGAGATGCTGAAGAATTCATCCAAGGCACTACTCGACAAAGGAAATGATCCCCCTCACAAGGCGACAAGGCAGCTCGAGGACGAAACCAGTCACCTCGCACCACATCAGCAGCATGCCCCCACGTGGTCCTGTCCCCTTAGCCTAGTATAAATACTCATGTAAACCTCAGAAAGAGGGATCCGAATTCATTCT